CCCGGGAGAAGGGGGAATGGGGCAGCGTTCCTTGCCCTGATTGGGAGAGGGGAGGACTTTCCTTCAGGGTTATTGCTTTTGCCCCGCACCGCCCGGATCTGATAACTCGCTGGTCTCTTTTGAGGGGCCCACGGTAGTCTTCCCGCCGCGCCCTCCTGCATCAAACCTCCTCCACCCATGAAGTCCCGTGGGGTTCTGTGCGGTAAAGCACGCCGGGATGCCCAGCGCAGGCCCTGGCCCTGAGACAAAAGATGATGGATGGATGGGCGGATGAGAAAAGCCTCATGCACACGTGCATTAAGGGCTCTGACACCCCTCAGTGAAACCCGGGTCCACTGTGCCATCAACTCCGCCACTGCGCGCCCCGAGGAGCGCACCTCGGGTTCCCCTGCAGCTGCCTGCGGTAAAGACGCAAAATTCTTCTAGGAAAAAACAGAGCTCCCACACCGCTACTTCCAGCGCACCCCCGCTGACACACCAGCCACTGGATTTTAACCTCTTCCATTCCCAAGCCATCCCGCGAAAACAGTGCGGATGACTGTTTAGCCAGCCTTTGAAGTTGGTTCCTTACTGTTCACACTTGATTCATTTCCTTTTTATTTAACATTTGCTCTGGTCACAGCAGATACAGGAGAAAGCTCTAGGGTAGTAGTTTTACTTTTCACCTTTATTGGATTTTTATATTTTCTCATTCTGCTTTTGAAAAGAATTGTTCTTTCAAGACTTGTGAAAGGGAAGTCTTACATGAGTTAAAGAGGAAGGCAATTTGCTATAGATCTCTTGCTGAAAAGGGAGTCATCTTAAAACATGTCATGACAGATATTTGTACAAGTCAAACAAAATGCCTTCCTAAGCAACTTTCAGGAGCTATTCAGATTTTGACACAGTGAGGATTTCCATTACTGTCTCATTGTAGGGTTTTTTGTTGTGGTGGTAGTGGTGTTTTTGTTGTTGTTATTTTTGAGAGAGGGAGGGGGGCCCATGTCAAGTGAAGAGTTGTACATATTTTTATCTGATTTTTCATCACACAATTTATTTCTCTCTGTGCACAGAAGGAGAGCCAATTCTAGAGACACCCTCTATTTTGCCAACCAGCAACTTCCTGTTTTCACTACCGTTTTAATACAAGGACTCTCGTATCATGCTCCAGAAATGAATTCCCAATTGCCTGCTTTACATCTCCACCTGGACATCCCGAAGGCATTCCAACTCAGCATGTCAAACACTGACTCATGGCTGGCTCCCTCAAGCCTGCCCTCCTCTCACTCCCATTTCTGTGCCCTTCTCCAGCCTGCCCTCTTTCTGAATCCCCTGTTCTGTTACTAACATTGTTGACCGTCAGTCACCTCTCTTTGAAATCTCACAGTGACCTTTGATTCTTCCTTCTCTGGTGTCTCTTCTCCTCAATTACCAAGTCACAAAGACACTGTTTTCACAATATATATTATGTCCATCACCCCCGTCCATTTCTACTGCTACCATACTTGGCTCAGTTTTTCATTCCTCACTGCTTATCTTGACCGTGGAATTGTTTCCTAATTAGTCTTCCCACCTCCAATGCTCCTCTTGTTCCAACCATCTTATATTTTGCCTTGCCTTGGGCCAATCTTTCTAATAAGTAATTTACATGTTAGGATTAATTTCAGCTTCTATCCAAGGGGCAGGGGGGGGGGGGAGAGCAATTCTCTGTTCCCTTAAGAAAACTTCCTAAAAGTTGGCTACACAGTCCTATTTCCTTTAGATTTCATTAATCAGAACTTAGGCACATGACCACACCTCGCTGCAAGAGACGTTAGGAAATGCAGCCTTTATTTCGTACAGGCATATATCCAGTTAAAAATCAAGGCTCAGTCATGTCACTTCTCGTTCAAAAGCTTCCAGTGGCTCCCGCTGGATTATGAATATGCTTTTCACCCTGGCATTCAAGACCCGCCATGATCCGGTCTCAGTTCACTCTCCAGCCTAGTGCCCTCTGTGTTTGCAGTGAAAATGAGACTGTGTAATACAAAACAAATAAATAGAAAAAAATGAGATTGTGTGCTGCTTCCACATTTTATTTCTTTAAAATATATTTTTATTGATTTCAGAGAGGAAGGGAGAGGGAGAGAGAGATAGAAACATCAATGATGAGAGAGAATCATCGATTGGCTGCCTCCTGCACCACCCCCTCTACTGGAGATGGAGCCCGCAACCCGAGCATGTGCCTTTGACTGCAATCAAACATGGGACCCTTCAGTCTGCAGGCTGATGCTCCATCCACTGAGCCAAACGGGTGAGGGCTGCTTCCACATTTTCTTGTCTCTGCACCCAATCCCGGTTTCGACACCACTTCTCTCTCAAAGCTTATCCTACCCCCCCTTGCTCCAACTCTGCTTGCTGCCCAGCTTTTTGTGCTGTTCGGTGCACCCCAGAACTGTGGTAATGATTAACCCTCAGCTGGGAGTGGGCACTCTCTGCATTATTGGCCCTTTCATTGGACTTAAGTGTGGTGCTGAGTGGGAGAGCAGTGTTAGAAGGCGCCTGGGGCCATGCTGAATGTATCTGTTATTGAATGAGCAAAACCTCTCCTTAAGGAGGAGCTGATCTCAGGCTCCTTCTGGGACTAACTGCCCTGTAGCAGCTCCACCTACACGTGAGGCAAACCAAGAAACAGGTGTCTGCCCTTGGCTCCCCCAACAATTGGTACAGGGTTTCATTTTCTGCCTTCTTCTCTCCTTGTTTGTATTTAAAATTCCCCTCCTTTCGGTCTTCTATTTCATTTCTTTTGTCTTTTCATAATTACACATGCTTCCTGCGTGTAGGTATTTAGTACAAAAAATTATTGATCCCTGTATTTATTTATTATTTTTTAAATCCTCACCCGAGGATATGTTTTTCATAGATTCTAGAGAGAGAGGAAAGGAGAGGGAGAGAAAGAAAAAAGAAAAAAAAAAAAACCATGGGTGTGAGAGAGAAACATTGATCGGCTGCCTCCTAACAACCATGCGTGTGAGAGAGAAACATTGAGCAGCTGCCTCCCGTACACATTGGGACCTGGGATCAAACTGCAACCTGGGTATATGCCCTGACCCGAATCAAACCAGTAACCTTTCAGTTCACAGGATGACACTCCAACCAACTGAACCACACAGGTCAGGGTGATTCCTGTATTTAGACATCTCCTCCCACAATACTTACAGTGTTCTCTCTAGGTTCTAGATGTAGAAGTGTGAAATTACACAAACATCTTAAACAATGGGTGCTGGATTTTATCAAATGCCTTTTCTGCATCTGTTGACATGATCATGTGGTTTTTATATTTCATTTTATGTTTTGTATCACATCTATTGACTTGTGGATATTGTAGAAACCTTGCATTGCCAGAATAAATGCCACTTGGTCATGGTGTATGATCTTTTTGATGTATAACTGGATCGTTTTGCTAATATTTTGTTGAGGATTTTAGCATCTATGTTCGTCAGGATATTGGCATGTAATTCTCTTTCTTTGTAGTGTCTTTGTCTGGCTTTAGAATTAGGATAATGCTGGCCTTGTAAAATGTGCCTGGGAGTCTTCCCTCCTCTTGAATTTTTTGGAATAGTTTGAGAAAGATAGGTGTTCATTCTTCTTTGAATGTTTGGTAAAATTTACCTATGAACCCATCTAGTCCAGCACTTTTGTTTGTTGGGAGTTTTTATTTTTATTTTATTAATGCTTTAATTTCATTAGTTATAATTTTTCTGTCCAGATTCTCTGATTCTTCTTGATCCAGTTTTGGAAGATTGTATGTTAAGAGGAACTTATCCATTTCTTCCAGATTGTTCAATTTGTTGGCATATAGTTATTCATAATATTTCCTTGTAATCAATTGTATTTCTATGATGTCAGTTGTTACTTTTCTTTCATTTCTGATTTTGAGTCCTCTCTCTTTGTTTCTTTTATATAGAAAGGGAAAGGGAGACAGAGATAGAAACATCAATGATTAGAGTCATTGATAGGCTACCTCCTGCACGCCCCCTACTGGGATCAAGCCCTCAACCCGGACATGTGCCCTTGACCAGAATCAAACCCTTCAGTCCCCAGGCCAACGCTCTATCCACTGAGGCAAACTGACTAGGGCTCTCTTTGTTTCTTGATTTGTCTGGTTAAAGGTTTGTCCATCTCGTTTAACTTTTTAAAGAACCAGCTCTTGGTTTCATTGATCATATATATATATATATATATTTAGACTCTATTTTATTTATTTCTGCTCTAATCTTTATATTTTTTTCCTTCTACTGACTTTG